CTCTCATGTGATGTCTGAAGCTCAAGATATGAAGGTTCAAAGTTGAAGTTTCAAATGGATCAAAACTCATAACTTAGAAATTTTTCTAAGTTATCTCAAGGCAGATTTCATGTCATGACTTTCAACCTCAATTTCCATGACTTTCCAAGTTGAAAATCAAACTTCCACCAACATCAAAGTTGTTTCTTGCCATGCAAGCTTGCATTTGAGCCCAAGTTCCAATCAAGAGGAGCTTTGTGCATCAAGATGCCATGGTCCAAAGATGTTGGTTTGGAAAATATTTTTAAGGCATGATCCTTATGTGATTTTGGCATGTTACTCAATCAGTCTTACAGCATTATCTCATTCCCAAGCCATGCGCATGAAATTGCAGTTTGTGCACTCCAAAACATTGCTAAAACAAGATCAACCAAGGTATGTACCATAATGAAGTGATTTTGAAATTCTTGCCCAAAGGAGGAAAAGACAAGCAGCCACTACTCTGAATTCACACTCTCCCTCTGATTTGTCTCTCCACCAAAAGCAAACAACCTGAAAATGCAAAGCAATCCGTGAGAGGTCCATCATGCACCATTGAATCAAACTTTTCATGTCTCACAACATCTGCTCCCTTGAATTTTCATCACAGTTAAAACTTCAAATTTCATTTTTTACTTCATATATAAACAAAAGAGATAAACCCTAGATGGAGAGAGCCACCATTTGAGCAAATATCAGAACTTGTCATTTTTTATTCTCTCTAAGTTTTCATTCGAAACATACAACCCTTTGAGCATTTCGGCAAGTTTCTTCTCAAATCATCATCACCATAACCTCTTTTACCATCTGTTAGCAAAAGAAACCAACTGTGAGCACTTTGATCCTCAACTGCTCAAACTTGTTTGGAGGTTTAGAGGAGTTTGCAAGGCCATTTAAGCACAACTTCAGCTCTCTCAATTCATAAGGAGTTATTCTGCAGCCTTTGGTGGTGTTTCAGCAAGCGTAGAAGAAGCAGTGGACATACTCCACTAGGTACTTTCTTGAACTTGTTCCTTCCATTTAGGCACTAAATTGTTATAGCGGGTGACACTAGTTGGAGTTCCCACTTTAGGACTCTCACTAATTTGATTACTTCGTATGGTGTCATTATTGAGGTACTTGAAGAAGTTGGGAATGATACATCATTTGAAAAATATGGTGAAACTATGCTTTTGTTAGATGTACTTCAATCCTTTGATTTATCTTCAAATTATATATGATGGTTGAAATTTTACAATTTACAAAAGATTTGAGTGTGGCGTTACAAAAACGTGATCAAGATCTTTTGAATTTTTTGTCCTTTGTCATTACTACCAAATAAGAATTACAAGAAATGAGGAATGATGGATGAGAAGAACTTTTATCTAAGATTATGGAAACTTGCAATAAGCATGATATTGATGTGTCTGATATAGATGCATCGTATGTGCAAGGGAAGAAACCTAGGCGACATGCTACAACTTCTAGTGTTTCTAATTTACACCATTATAAGCATGATTGTTTGTTTAGTGTTTTAGATTTGCAGTTGTACGAGCTCAATGTTAGGTTTGATGAAGAGAATACTGAACTTTCAGAATGTGTTTCATGTTAGAGTCCTTCATCATCATTTGCAGCTTTTGATGTGAAAAAATTATTAAGGATGATTGAACTTTATCCAAATGATTTTTGATAGATGTGTCGGAAGTGGTGTTGCCATATCAACTTCAGAATTATGTTAGAAATGTTCGACGTGACCCAAAATTTGCAGAGTTAAAAGGACTTTCATATTTTTGTGCAAAACTTGTGGAAACAAATAAGTGCAACACATTTAATATGGTTTACAAGCTTCTGAAATTGGCTTTAGTCTTACCGGTAGCAACTGCAAGTGTGAAACGTGTTTTTTCAGCTATGAAGTTTGTGAAGAGTCAACTATGTAATAAAATGAGTGATCGGTGGTTAAATGATCGCCTTGTAACTTTTATAGAAAGAGATGTTCTTAAAACAATTAACAATGATGTTATTTTACCTCATTTTTACGAAATGAATGATAGAAGATTTTCATTATAATGCATTGCATTAAACAATATTATTTTTTATTTTTAATATGATTTAGTTTGTAATTTCTTTTATATTTAACCATACTAAAATATAATGTTTAGATCCGCTCCTGCATGCAGCACACTTATAAGTTGAGTGTCATGTATGTGTGTCTCGGATTGAGCTAAAGGGGCTTTGAGGTCAAGTTTTATTTGATGAATTAAGATCATTCAATGATGTTTGTCCACCCCTATTGCGGCATACTATCATGACCATCTAACCAAATACTTCATCGGAGAATGGTACAATAAAAAAATTAGAGTCTAATGACATGCATATTATTGTTTAAATTGTGACTGAACTTGCTGATTATCATAGCTTATATTGATGATTTATGTTAAGGTTGATTTGATATGATAATGTTTATACCTTAACACTATGAATTATGTTAATATTTGATGTTAATGATCTCTTTTCAAATGTGTTTTAATATGATACAAATTTTAACTGATAGTTTGTGTGTTCTCAATTATTTTATATTGTTATGTGTTTTCAAATACCACTTCGTATTTAAGAAATAAGTTAGTTTTTGTTAAAGTAAGAGTTAAGTTTTGAGACATGTATAATGATGTCACCATCTGATTACAAAATAAAATATTTAAACATAGTTCATGTAGAATAGAAGGTGTCTAAGAATATGTCCTATTCTAATTTTCCAGTCGGTATCAATGTCCCCCTTAAGAGGATATACATCAATTTCAAAGAAGAAAAAGGAAAAGAAGTTTGAAAACAAACAGTGGGCCCAAGTGGGGCTTATGTCCCAGGCTGAACTTGCTGTTTTTGTCTCACCAAATGTACAGAGAACCTTCTGATGGAGTAGTGGTGACTTTACAACTGGTGCATCAATGAATGATTCAATGCATGTGACATTGCATGTGTCATTTTTATGTTTCTGACAATAATACCCCAGAAGAACCATTGAACCTAAACCTTTCTTGTCAAGGAACACGTATTCAAATCGAAATATCTTCTCAAAACTGTGAAACATGAACTTCCACGATTCACAATATAAACCACATGTGCTCACTCAACTACAGAATCTATACATACGTGATTCACTATTATCTTCGTTTATGTTCCTTTCAACTATTTAATCTACATGTCATAACAAAAAGAATATTAATATTTTTATATATATTATTTTTTAATACATATTGATTTCACAGTGTATAAAACATATTGAAATAACATATTTTATAAAAATATTTTTATATTATTAAATTTTAACTTTTTAAAAATATTTTATAAGAGTAAATAAGTAAATGATAATAGAGGTAAGCACGTCACCTTGGTGCTTATCGGTGTCAACTATCAAATTTTATTGAGACTCAATAATACAATATTAAGTAATTACATATTAAATGCCATTTTTAAAAAAAAAAATTAGGAAAACAAAGTGTTCATCTTTTTTATAGTAAAAAATATATATTGAACATTTTTGTGTGAATGTTATTTTAAACCTTTAATAAACTATTATGACTTTTAATAAGCAGAAACATTTAGTTATTTTTCAACTCATATAATAAAAAGTAAACAAATCTACTTAATTTTATGAATTCAGGTAGTTTTACTTATAATTGAATCTTAAGAAAATAAAATTTTAATGAATATAACACAACTCGTAACTAGAATTAAAAAATAATAATAATAATTTTAATTAAAATTTTAAAATTTATCTAGCATATTAGCCAAATAAATTATCTATCATATAGTAAAACTTCAAAGAATAATTATTTTAAATAAAGAATATAAAAAACTAAATTTTAATTATTATGTCTCTCTAATATCATTAGCCACCAATGACACTTCTGACCCAAATAGTAAAATTTAAAAAACAATAAAACTATCATAAATAAAATGAAAATAAGAATTAAAAGAAATCTCAATTGGACATATGATATGCAATTTGATTATATTATTTTTTATTTTTTTTATCTTTTCTGTGAAACCTTAGATTATGTATTGTTATACCAAACAGAAAATAAAATAACTTTCATATCTTATATTCTATTTGCAATCTACCTTGTATGCTGAGCAATACTTCTCAACTTGTGCCTGTATAGAAAACGCTTGTAATAATAGATTAAGAGCCAAGTTGCAAATTTATGAATTAATTTAAACATTTCCTTGAATTTTAACCATTGGCTTAATGCTAAATGATCCAATCTGTTCAAATAACTTATTGTGAAATAAAATAAAAGTATATATGAATATCAAAACATTTTAGAAAGAAACTGCAAATTTTATTTCATGATCGTGGTGATATACCATACAACACAAAGCGCGGATATCAGCATCAGTAAACTATAAAGAAGTTACAGAGACAAGTTCATAAAAAATGAAGCCTTAAAAAAACAAGGGCCTGGTAAAAAAACAACCTTTTCCCAAAGGAATAAGATTGTCATGGCAGACATGTATAACTTGCCGCCACGGCCAAGGCACCCGTAAACAAGGCATCATAACTCCGAACCCGACAACTGCTACAACCTTAACAAGAGCACAAATACTGAAACTGCCCTTTGAGTCAAAACACCTATTGACACTGGTACAGATAACTGTAAAAACATAGACAGAGGGAACTAAGACATTGTGGCAAAACCGATACAAAGCCGGGCTAAAAACATCGGGGTGCCACACAAAGTAACAAAGATTTCTAACTCCAGAACCTGGTAGCTGTGTTCTCAGAGATATGCAGCCATCTAAAAGGCGGCAACCAATAATAAGGTGCCAAAAACAGAATTCCGGTTAAGGAGTCTGCAAAAATGAGTGTTAAATGACTGCACACTCTGGAAAAAGAGACCCAAGTCGCTGGATGATCAAGACCCACATCAATGGACCAAAAAACTACTATGCTGTGTAACTAGACTTCCGCGTGTTAATTGCTGAGAGAGATTAAATCTTGCAGTTCAGGAGAGGATGTCACACCTCCAAAGAAGTTCAACAAGCATTTCAACTGCACTGCTGCTGATTGAATTGCAATGCTGGACGTTTAGTCCCAAAAGGGTGTGGCCCAATTTTCTCAATGCGGGCAAACTCCTGTCTGTAACCAAAGTGCAGCCTGACAGAGAAAGAATCTGTAGATTTATCTGTTTTGCATGTGCCAGGGCTGCTATCCCAGCATCAGAGATCGCACACATGGAAACATCAAGATCACAAAGCAATTGGCAATGCTCGGCCATTGCTATCAAACTAGCATTGCTAATGTTTTTACAACCTTCAAGGTTTAGAACCTCGAGAGTCCAACCATGCAGATTGACCAGGGATGAAACTACTTTGTCTGTAAGATTTACGCAACCACTAAGATTGACTTTAACCAGACCAGCCTCTGAACTCTCAAGCAGTGGAAGCAAACCAGCATCTGTCACTCCCTTAAGTCCAGTCAATTCAACCTGTTGAAGCTGAGGGCACAACTTCCCGAGTACGGATAGGGTAGCATTTCCAAATCCAGGGCAGTTACAGATTGTTAATGAACGAAGTGATTCACAAGGAGATGAGGGTGACAATTCCAAGTCCAGATCTTTAATTCCATAGCAGCTTACAAGAGAAAGAGCCTTCAATTTTGCACCACAGTTAAAAAGGACACCGAAAAACCCAAATTGGGTAATTCTGTGGCACTCTTCCAATTTTAGGCTTTCAAGTGAAATAGCAGCCTTGGTGAATGAAATCAACCCATTGTCTGAGAGAAATGCACACTTTTGAAGGTGTACACTTTTCAGATTAGGGCAGCCCTTTCCAACTGCTTCAAGCCCAACATCGGTTACTCCTCTGCAGGATGCAATTGTGAGTGACTTTAGTTTATGCAATCCATTAGCATTTCCCATAACCCAAAAGCCCCTCTCACTAACATTTGGGAGGAAATTAAGGACAAGATCCGTAACTGCTTTTCCATAATGTCCAATAACAGCTAGAGAGAGATCAGAAACAGTCAATGCCTGGAGCTTCACCTTTGTCAAAAGCAAAGAAGTTGAAGAAAAGAGGCCAGCGATTCCCTGATCACCAACACCGGCACAATCCTTGATAGATATAGACTTCAGATTAGAGCAGAACTTTCCAATGGCTTGTAGACCTTCATTGTGAATGTTAGGACAAGACTCTAATGATAACTCAGTAAGATTTGGACAGTTTCTTGCAACTGCGATCAAAGCCTTGTCAGAAATTGAAGGGCATCTGCAAAGGTCAAGCTTCTCTAGCTGTTGACATCCATTAGCAATCTCAATTAGACCTTCATCACCAACAGAGGAAACATTCCATAGAGAAAGAACCTTTAGAGAAGGGCACCCGCTAGCAACTGCTTTGAGACCTAGAGCAGTCACCCCGCGATTTGAGTTGTTTCCACGGATAGAAAGCTTTCCCAATCCTCCCCGTGATGCGGTTCCAACTGCGATGGCGGCAAGTCTAACATCTGTTGCCTTCTTCCCTTCCAAGCTCCGGGAAAGATATCCCTCGCCTCCAAACTCCCGGCTGTCACCTTCCATTTTATTCTCGCCATCTGAGGTATTCTTGTTGCTACAGATTTCGTTCTTGCAAATACTGCTTAGAAGCATAAGCCAGCGTTTGGAAACACAAGCGCAAGCACTCCTTTCTTCACCCACAGGCAACCTTCTAAATATCTCAAAGAGACACTCATCTGGCAAGGAATCAATTGTTGTTTTCTGCTTCTGCTCAAACCATTCTCCATCGAAAACAAATGGAACGCTGACACGCGATCTCTTCTGAGGAGGATAGTAGACATCAACCTGAGGGCCAAGAGACAGGAAGAAGCTTGCTTCCTTGGGGTTTGTGTATATAGAACCCCCATGGCAAAAGTTATCACCTGAGAACCAAAAAGTTCGGGCAATCTCGTCAGCAAAGAACAATTTCAGCATATAAACATAGTGATCGATCTATATAAAACCACAAAATTTAACAACAAACATCTATTTTGTAAACTAAACATTTGATCAAATCAAACAACAGAAATCAATAGATTCATATCTTCATATCAACTTCCAACAAAACTGCTAATTTTCATAAAACAATTTCAAGCTGAATTATCTCCCTATCTAATCAAAACTATGAATCTCTTTCTATCTCTAATCAGATCCGGTAAACAATCAAAACTATATCACACAAAACCCCAAATTCTAATCTTACAGATCTATAACCCAATTAAAATTTCAAGAGTCAACCACATGATGATCCATGACACATAACAAATTAATCATCATCAAAGAATAAACTTCCTATGAACATCAAAATCATCATCTAATCAAATACGCGTTGAACAATAAATCAAATCAAAACCGCGTTGAACTTACCGGAAAAGCCGAAGACTTGAGACATGGATACAGCTGAAACAACCCTCGAACGAGAGAAAAAAGAGCAGCGAATAAGAAAACGAAGACGGAGATTACGATCTGTGAAAGTTGAAAGCAAATATGCATGAGATAGAGAGATGAATTGAAGGTGTGAAATTGGGGAAATTGGAAACCCTAAGAGATAGGGCAAAAAAGAAAAAGAGAGAAAATTGGGGGGTGTAGAAAGAAGAAGAAGAAGATGAATGAAGGGATTGATGATGTTGATGAAAGGGAAGGTTTTTATTGTAAGAGACAAGTGGGAAACGGATTCCCGTACAATGAATGGTTCATTTACACATACAATGTATCTTGCATTCAATATGGAAAGTGGGGTTTTCTTTTCTATTATTCTTTTCCCCCACTATGCTATGATTTTTTTTTTTTACACAAAAATTATTACTATAATAATCAATTAATTGTAATTAGTGAATGTGATGTTTTTGGACTAATTTCAATCCTTTTTCCATTTTAAAATTTGTTTGCGTGTTATTCGTATAAATAGTTAAACAAGATTAAATTCTAGGTATCACCATGATTGGTCGGTAGAAGTAATATTTGTCTATAAATATTTAACTATAATATTTTAAATTACACATTTAATTGAATCAAGTCATTTTATATTTTTTTTTATCTTTTTTATTTTTATTTTTATTGATGTGTATTTTGTAATTTAGTAGTTTTATATCTCCATGTTATATTGAAGTCTTTTTGGTGGATAAAAAATGAAGTATTTTCCACAGCGCACTCATTTAAAAAAAAAGCATTAATGAGAGATATTAGTTTATTGTTCAACAAAATTTTAAGTTCGACAATAATTTTTTCACACCTGGCAGAGTACGACTGTCATAACCATTGAAAAATTACAAGTATTAAGTCAATATTATGTTTGATGTATGCATTTGTTGTGGCAGGAAAGAGTTTATGCAACATGGATCAACCATTAGTGTCATCGACGATAAGATCAAGCTAATGCCATCAATAACCATCGCCGTCATCATCAACTGAGTTTTTGTGGACGAGGGTGATGTCCTGAATGTTATGTCACTTCTAACATTAAAGAAGTATGAAAAACATGGAAGATTTAATTCCATTCAACATGGATTTGACTAGCTTTTTAGGTGTGGCATCCAACGCACTTGGAGTACCAATAGTCGATGTAATTAGGGGGTAAAAAGTGATAAGGACAACCTTCTTTGTAATAGATAAAAAGTCTTCCTGGTTTATTATTTTAAGCGATGATTGAATCCACACCAATGAATGTGCTCCCTAAACATTAAACATTATATTTGAAACTCATGTTCTAGGTAGGTGATAGGGTAGAAAATATGAAATTCAACGATAATATTAGTTGGGGTTAAAATGTTTGAAGCTTTGTTTTATTCCCCTCGCTTGAGTCTCATCATGGACCTTGAGAAATATGAAAAATGAGTTTTTGAAGGTTACAACCTCACAAAATAATGATTTCAACTAAAAGTTCATGTTGACCTACAACCTTTTATTGAAGTTATAAATGATTAGTTCACCACAAGAACTAAGGAACTTAATGGATAACCCAAATACACTAGAATATAAAACCATGGTGTTAGACTCCATGTTCCATGACAGCGAAGGTGAATGTGAATTAGGAGTATGAGAACCACTTGTGACTTCAATTGAAGATGGTAGAGAGCATGGAAGCGAAACACCAATTTAAAGGAATTTTCTAATCTTTGACACATGAGGTTCATTAGTCAAAGCAAGTTTAGGAATCCACAAAAATGTGGATCTATGTGCTTACATGTATTGCATTTATGATGCCTTAACCCTTTGAGTGATCATAATGGTTTTGATGATGGCTTTGATGTTTGGTAGAATCATGTTGGTTGATCAAGTTGATCTTTGGTGATGTCTTTCTGGTTGCCTATGATTATGTTACCCACCTTGAAATTCATATCAAGCCTCATCATGGAGAAGATTTGATGTTCCATTGAAGTTCTAAAGTTAAATGTAATGTATAAAGGAACTTGAAGCTTCAAATTTGTGAAAGAGAGGAAGTATGAAAGCTCCATTGGTCAGTTGTGCACCTAGCATAGTGTCTGAGTGATCAGAGTATTGTATAATGGTGGAGTAACTTATAAGTTACTAAGAAACTCTCACAAACTAAAAAAAATGTTTTTAGGACCCTTTCGTTTTGATAAAACCATCCAAAATGTTTTTTCGCGTATAGCTAGTTGTTTACATACTAAAATAATCAATTATAAGTAAAAATTACACTAAATAATCGATTATCCATCGATTATCTATAACGTTTCATAATTGATTATTAGGGTTTATAGTCAATTAGTAACTTCACAATTTGAAAATTTTCCATTTTTACACTGCATAATTGATTATCCCTGTGGCATAATCAAGTTTGAGCATTAAAAAGTACATGGATTGTTTTCCTTATTGAGCTACACTTTCTCCTATATAAGGATGGTGCTTCCTCAGCATTTCAAACACTAGAATTTGATTTTAAATCATTCCTCTCTCTCTCACACATATTTTTTCTTTCACTAAAAGTTGTCTTAGTTCCTTTGTGAGTGAAATACTTTTGTGAGGTTTTAGTTGTAATGGTGTTCAGTTATTTTATCAAGAGTGTGATTCCCTTAAAGTGCCTTTTGGTTAGTTTTGGAGGTTGTCCTACAAAAGCTTTGTTTGGTTTTCGAGATTAGCTGGTAAAAATCTTGTTTTTGGTTTGTGAGTTTAAACAGTGAAGAGCTCCACTTGGTTTGAGGGATCAGGCTATGAAAATCTCTTAGTTGATTGTAATAGGTTTCGTGGGCAGAACCAGGAAAATCTCAAAAGATTTTATTAGTAGAACTCTTAAGAAGTTTATTTCTTAAGGAGCGGATTAGGCCAAGAGATTTGTTGAACCTCTATAAATCCTGATGTAATCTTTCTCAACTCTTTCTCTATTTACTTCCGGTCATTTATCTTCCTTTATATTTTTTGTCTTCTATTTTTCGATGTTATCTCTATTTTTAACTATACTAACATAAATTAATGTTTTTAGTGACTAATCTTAAATTAATCACGAATTTTGAATACCATAATTCACCCTCTTCTCATGTGCTTGGAGTTACTTGTTCAATGAAAAAGACTTGAGATAACCAAGATTAATATATTGATAAAACATACGTGACTCAATCGGTTTCCTACTAGTACAAGATTCTCAATGATGAAAGAGAAAGACCCGATTTCTATTATTTGAAACTTAAATAATGTTAAGTTTAGACTCGCATTTATTATGTTGTAAAAAAAACCCACATGTATTTAAAATATATGTTTATCTTTATATTTTCTTACACCAAAAATTGAATACCAATAAAAAAACTAGGTTCTTGTATTATATTGAAATAATTACTTGACAAACACATTTTACGGGGATCGATTAACGAAAATAAGTCATTAGATCTAACATTTCTACATTAAGTAACAGGTTCTTATAGATAGCTAAGGTGAGACTCTGAAAGATGTTCTAGTATAACATATTAGAAGTCTAAAATTCAATATTCAAGTTAAGCTTTATTGTTACAAACTAGCCATGAGTTTTTATTATCCATATATCTATGACCCACAAGTGTAAAATTGGAGATAAGGTATTCCTTAACAAACCATAAAGAAAAGTATGGAGATCTATCTCACAAATGAAAGGTTGAAATCCTATGTTAGGAAAAATGGTCAATAGACTACATAAGACCATCATCATGAATGGGCTCACAATAGAGAACACACATCGGTTAGGGACATGGACACCAATAGAAACACGTATGGAAGAAGTATTATTTTATCACACTTAAGATATTAAAATTCAAGAAGGGATCTCAATGGTATTTCAAATGTTGCAACAACTTCAATGGAATCTATAGCCAAAACAGGCTAAGATGAAGATGAAGAATCAATGGATGTTACACTATACAAAAAAAAAAATCATTGGATCTTTAGGGTACTTTTGAAATACTAGATCAGATTTGTGTCAAAGTGTAAGCTTAATGAACGAATTCATCAAACTACCAAAAGTATATCCTCTTCTAGTCGTAAAAAGGATATTCATATATATTAGAGGCACAATTGATCATTGAATTTTGATGTCAAACTAAAAGATTAACAAAGGAGATGTAATGTCACATGGCTACTCAGATTTTGACTGGGTAGGTGATCACGATGACAGAAAAAACATTGCATATTATTTATGCATGATCAGTGGGGAACCAATCTCATGGACTTCTGTACTAGAAAAATGTACATTGTTTGTAGGGTTGCTGGTCATATAGCCAACAAAGCCTTAATTTTCTATATTCCTTATGGTTCGATCTTTTCTCTCTTACTTATGCGCCTTTTTATACTTCAACTTCTGTTTCTTCATCAAGCGGTTACAACCATTACTGGATATGCATTGGTTAATACTATTGTCTCCTCATCTAAGTGTAATGGCCATAACAGTCATTAAACGTTGTTCCCTTCACTGCTTAACAGACACCAAAGTTATTAATATGGTTGTCTTTCTATATACCAAACACTTATGTATGACTACATACAATTTATTGATATCGGGCTTACATCTTGCCCCTACCTTAAACCGATCGCGAGCTTGTCAATCACACTGGATTGAGATGTTTCTTGAAGAATTGAAGATTCATAACGTTAGGAAGATTAAGGTGCTAGTTGACAACAAAATAACCATTGATTTAGCAAAACACCTAATCAATCATGGAAGAAGCCGGCTCACTAAGAAGAGATTCCATATCTTAAAAGATCAAGTAAACATTGATAAATTGTAACTAACATTACCTAAATGCAATTAACTGACATGTTTACAAATAAATGAAAACTAGAAAAAAAAGCAAGTGAAAACTATTCTCATATATTTTTAAAATATTTGTTATCTTAAATGTTTTGAAATTATAATTTATTAAGATTATAATTTATTAAGATTATAATGTTTATAAATATAAAAATCTTAAA